CATACAAGTTTTGCTTTAAGAATAAGATTTTAAAAATAACATCATGTACTCTAGCATATGTTTTTAGTTTAAAAAATTCTAAAAGTGTTATATATTATTCCTCAAAAGAAATCCCACTGTGAAATTAAATCATCCTCAAAAAAGACAAACAATCAAGAAAGGAAATTATACTGTACAATTACAGTTTTCATGAGGTAAAAGGCTTGGGGTTTTACAAATGTTACTCCAAAGACAAGAAAAGTCTAATCTTTAAGTCAGCTCTTCAGAAAGAAAGTCAGGTCTTTAGATCCTTCTATGCTGCAAATAAACAGGCATTAGGATGTATTACATATGCTTTGATATCAAGACAAGATTATTCAAATATCGATAAAATATATAAATTAAATAGTACTGCTATACCAATTTCTTTCAGACATTTCCTTTAAGATAAGAAATGGCTATAGAAAAACCGTATCTACCAGTAAGTATACGGACTTTGAGATAAAATAATCACATGCCATTTTCCCTTCTCCAAAATTAAATCCATTCACTAATTGAAGGTCACAGCTTTTCTTTAATTATTTTTTTCCTGAATTTCAAACAAACCACACAGATAACTATTACTATGGCCACTGAATACAGGTGTTTAAATTCAAACTTTTAATGGATAATTAACAAGTCTAACAGTTTTAAAACTAAAAATTTCCAACTCCAAAGAATCAAATATTATGACTACTTGTACAACAAAGGAAAATAATTTTTTTCATCGTATGATACAAGCTACAGAAAGGCCCCACAACTGCTCCAATGCCATGTTTGTAACGCACACCAAGTTCACACACACTTTTTAATTTCACCTTCTTAATTTTAAAGTGAAAAAAATTAATTGCCCTTATTCTAAAAAACAGAAAGCATTTCTAACAATAAGTTTCTGAAGTCGTTGTCCTTGGTATCAATGAGTGTCAATTAAATATATTTTCCACAATTCAAGCTGGAACAGCCTGAAATAAGATATCACTATTCATTTAGTGAAATATACTAAGTATCTACTATGTATTAGACAAAGTAAATTTGAAAGCTCCTAAGAATTATTAGTTGCAAAAACTGAGATGTACTCAAAACAGTAGTAAAGAAAGGGAATATAGCCCTCTTCTACATTAATAACTTCCTCCCCTCCCCCAAAAGTGACAATTTTCAAATGACTGCCAGTAAAAGGAAGGAGGTGGGAGAAGAGTTGAGGTTTGGTTGACATTTTAAGATATTCTCTGGATTAAGGATAACATTAGCTTTAGGATATTTACAATCCAAAGTGCTTTTTTTTTACTTAATTTGAAATGTTAAACGACATTCTATTATTTTCTCTATAAGCTACAACTTTATCATTAAAAATGAATTTTAGTAAATTAAGTTAGTGCATGATTTTTTTTAAACATTTTTTTATATATAAAGTGGTATAAAGTGGTAAAATTATTATTAATTTAACCTTCTGACGTTGTGCTCTCACAGTATCTTAAGAAATCGATTATCATTTTACTAGGGGAAATAAAAGTACCAGCCAAAGAGGAATTACTGAGTTTCAACCCAGAGATTTGACAGCTGGTTTTCTTAAGATGATACTGTCATGGCTTTAGTTTTTTTCTGGTTTTCCTTTTTTTTAATTGTGTCTCTCAGCACTCAGAATAAAATTAAGTTAGACAGAAAATTATAGTTTTTGTACACTAGAGTGGACCTTGCTTCTGGAATGTTTATTTTTTTAAATCATGAGTTTAAATAAGTTAGAAAAAATGCATACTTAAGAAATATGGGATAATAGAGCACAGTAGTTACAAATATACAAGTAAATTTAAAGAGAACAGCACTAGTGTAGGAATAGGAATCTAATTTAACTTACTCTAAACATTATCCTAATGTACTCAATGTAAGAGAATTCAGTCATCCAATAGGTGTCATTTGAAAATATATCCAACTCCTATTCATTTATTTTTAACTTTTATTCCATTAACATTTTAAATAACTCTACAAAATTTTTAATTTGCTATAGACGTCTAAGAAAATGGCCATTTTTAAAAATTAACATCTTACTAATTATTGCTTGACTCAATTCCCTTTTCACGTGCATATATTAAATATTATTTTACCAATTCCTTAGAACCCCAGCTTTAATAATGCTAATGGGCTGAAAATTCAAAAAAATTTTAAAATACATATTTAAATAAATATTAGAAAATAAAAGACCATACATGGACCATAAATAATTTTCTTCTAGTACTTTTCTAAATGTACTCAAACATGACAATTTCAAATTTAAAAATTCATAGAAAAGAATTAAACAATTTTAAATCCATATCGAAATTCTTATAGAAATATCAACGAATCTCAGAGCAGCAGCCCACATTTGGGGCTTGTTTTTATTTACGATTTTAACTGAACATGAATAAGAATATAAAGAAAGATATTGATACACTTTATATTTTTCTAATAAAACATCAAAATATAAGTTTTTGATTTTAGGCATCATCTTACCTGATCCACTGAACTGACTGCTTCCCAGTGTCGTTGGTCTGGTTTTCCCACTATTAACAGGTGGGGAAAACATCTGCAAAATAATCCAAAAGTATCTGTTAGTCCTGAAATTCTTCTAGATTCCTTTCAACCCGAGAGTCATCAGTTAGTTACTAAATTTCAGAAGGAAATTAAAATAAAATTAGAAATACACATTCAGACCCAGAAAGGCAAATACACTGAGTGACACTATTTCCTAACACTACTTGGCAATACTGGTTATATTGTATCCTAAAAATCCAGTCACTTACATGAGAGATTCTAAGATTATTAAATTTAAATGGTAAATTTTTTCCAGGAGCTTCGCTTTGTAGCTAATTTAATCTCATTACACTTACACTACAATTTAATACACAAAGTCAGAATCTTATCCAATGAAACTACTACATACTGTAAAGATCCATGACAACAGTGTTATAAAGTAGGGACTGGTCCTGCCTCCCAACAGCAGTTAATAAAGGAGTTCAACCGATTAGAAATAAGGGCAGTGGGCTCTTAGGTTTTAGCTGATACTTTTAAATCATTCAATTATTTCCCATGTAAAAAAAATTTAAATACACTATACACATACGCATTTTTTCCACACACACACACGCGCACACACACACACACACACAATATGCACCCTAAAAGTAATCTGCTCAAAAGGCTGGAAATTCTAGCCATTGACTGGTTTTCTTGTAACTGACATCTTTCAGGTACCATAAATTATAACACACACGTTGGGGAGAAAAATTGTTAGGAGTGTCGAAACAAAAACAATTTTCTTTTTTCATATGAAGTTCAGAATCTCTAATAATCATCAGGGTCACAGGGTGACTCAACCAAAGCTTATGATTACACTGTTCGCCTTTTAACTGGTTAAAATCAAAAGACCCCTTTGGCAATAAAGTTTTAAATCTGCAAGTCTAGACATTACATCAAAGTTCAGGTGTCCAACTTGGGGCAGCTGGACTCCAGCCCTAAGAACAACTGCTCAAAGCAGAGGGAGTTCACGCTGCCTAGTCTCCACGTCGCTTCCTCAACCTCCTTTCTATCTTTTTCTTTCTTTTTCTATAAACCTCAGCAGAACCCCAAGATGCGGCGGAAAGCTTTCATACCGCACTGAAGTCCAGCAGGTCGCTCAGCTCCTTGTCGGTCCCTATAGCGGCCATGCGCTGCTGCTGAGGATTCATCTTCGGCCACTTCTAACAGGTCCTAAGGTAGAGGAAAAACCAGGCTCAGCGAGAGACCACGGAAGGGAGGGAGAGGGGCGTAGGAAAAGAGCAAAAGCGTAGGGCAGACTTTCAATACCCAACTGGTTACCCCCGCCGCGCGGGGAGGAGGCGGGAGAGCCAGGAGCCCGCGCCAGGTCTGTGAATCCACGCGTTCCTCGGCGCGGCCCGGGAGCGACGCAGCGGCTCCCGCAACTCGCCACCTCTCCCGCAAGTTTCCGAGCCGGTCCCTTTTCTCTCTTCGGCGCTCCCTACTGCGCGCCGCCGCCCGGAGCTCCGCAGGCCGGGCCCGGCCAGGGTGGGAGTCTCGAGGGGCGGGTGAGGGAGAGGCGTTTGGGGGTCCAGCGAGCCGAGCGACGGCCAGGGGAGATGCGAAGTGACTCACTGGCTCGGCAACAATAGAACTGACAAGTTGCAGGGAACGCGCCGCTCGCAGGCCCGCGTCTGCGGCCGCCGCCGCCCGGACGTCCTCGGCGGGCCCGGGGGTTCGGAAAGCACCCCCGCGCGTCCAAGGGGCGTTTTTGAAAAGAAAACAGAAACACCGACAACTAGTCTCGCTCTCGCCCGGCGTCCTCCTCCCCCGGCTCGGCCTCCTCCCACTTTTGCTGCCCTGCCTGCGGCCGGCCGGCCCCGAACCTGCCGAACAATGAGCTTGGCTCGGGCCGGGGGCGCCTCCATGCCGGCAGGGACGCGGCGGCGCTCCGCAGCCCCCAGACCCGCCACGGGGTCTCCCTCCCGCTCGCCTCCCCGCAATTACCTGCCACCCCGTCTCCGCATCCAACCACCTCGATTAAAGTTCACTTTGGCCGGGAGAGCGGGCTCCGGCTTCCCCTCGTACTGCCCGGCGGCTCGGTTCACTTTGCCCCGCGCGAGCTCTCGGATCCGGGCGGGTGAGGCGGCTCTCCGGCCTGGCCGCCCCTTCCTCCCCGGGGCGGGCTGGCGGTCCCCCCGAATAGAACTTGTGGGTCTCCTCAGGCGGACATTTTTTTCGCTGAGGCGGCCTCAGCACCGCGCTTGGCTCAGCTCTGGATCCCTCCGCGCCGGGAAGAGCCCCGGATTAACCCCTTCGCTCCCGGCCGGCTCCTGCCGCCTGCGCCGAGAAAGTGGGGCCAGCGGCGAGGGGGCGGGGAGGAGCCGGCGGGAACGGGGAGGGGCCGCCGCGCGGCGGGTGGACAAAGCCCGCCGTGGGGTGAGGCGGGACGGAGTCGGGGCGGGGGGGAGGGG